ACCCTCTGGGGGAGATGGGTGGCATATAAATTTAATAAATAAATAAATAAATAAATAAATATCTTGCCCTCAGATCACTTGGAATATACTTTTCATATTTGCTTTCCAAGGAATCAATACCAGCCTCATAATGAATATAGTTTTGACACGGTTGCAGAAAAGTCAATCTGTTTCTGAGCAGCACTTGTTCTAGGGTTTAGTGTATAGCCTAGAAACATAAGCTTGACAGTAGATTCTGCTGAACACTTGGAAGGTACTTCTGAATAAGCATGCACAGAATTGCATTAGGGATAGTTCATAGTTTATTTCACAGTGTAACTTCTCAATATTTCTCAAAAGGCTATTTCCACCACAAAAAGAACTGATACATGACATCAAACTTTCAAGTATCATAAAAATGCACAAATGCCTACAACACTGTCCTCTGCTACTCTTAAAATAAATGTTAAGAAATGAAGCAGAAAAATATGAAACAATTTTCATATTTTTATAAGTTAGAACAGGATTGCATTATCTAGTATACAGCCAGTCCACTCATCTTTATTCAGATGTCATTCCACCAAAATCCCCTACTATATGAAGGTCACTCTCTGGCAGTTAGTGAAGAAAGTAAGATATCTCCCAAAACTGCTGTTTACTCTGTGGAGGCAATGGATAATCTAGCCATGGCAAAGTGGAACTCTTATTCCACTAGTAGATCATTACTTTGAGGTATTCTGGCTTTGCTCACTAATATTACATAGTTCCCAACAGGAAAGCCATTGTTTCAATCAATGAAGATTTCCTAATCCTATCGCATGAGATGCCATTTTGAAGGTCCTCCAGCCTTCATACAACCTGCAGGGGATTACACTATGAAAACTTCAAAGCTGTTCTGTTGTTTACACAACATATAATGAAGCAGGAAGATATTTTCAGTATTTTTCAAAGTAGTTAATGAATAAACATAAATAAATAAAATAACATTTTACTTTCCGTTTTTCGATTTTTAGTCAATTTGTGTTCCAGTTCTTCCAATATGCAATATTCCATTCTAAAATCACTCTTCTTGTTGAAGAGAAGAATATTTTTATCCTTTTCAAGGTTCACAAGTCTGGGAAAAGGGAAAAGATTGGTTGAAAATACATATTTGACAAGTGACATGACAAATACTAATATCAAAAGTTTTATGTTAAATGTAATACTACAAACTCAGAATTTTTTCAGACAAAACTGTTTTCTTTATATTTGACCTGTAATAAACGTACTGAAATCTTTACTTAAATTATATACTTGATGGTCATTGTGACCTATGGGATTGTTAATTTAAGGGGGACAGAAATATAAAAGTTATCATTTTATTCCTTTTGTGAATTTAATTGAAAGCAATACAGACATAATTTTAAAAATATAATTTGTGGATACCCTGTTAACTAAGATAATAACGTCTAACAAGAGTTAAAGCGGAAACTGTTTTTGTTGGGAGTTCTTTTGGTAAACATATTATTTTCTGTAATCTTTTAAAAATTAAATGCATTATTGTTGCAGTTCTGCTGCACATGTCAGACTGTAACCTACTAGTTCGGATATACAGTACAATCCACATCCTCACGAAGAAGAGATATCCCATCTTCTTCCTCTGCCGGTGATAAATTTAGATCATTTTAAAACTAGGGGAGAACTCTGGGATAAGCATGTGGAGAAAAGCTGGGAAAAGGAATGGGCTTTGTTCTATCTCTCAGACAACAGCAGAATTAACTTACTGGAATCCCCAAGAAACTAGGAATTCCAAATAAATGGAGCAGAGGGAACATCTGTTTCAAGCATTTTTTATTTCTGCAGGAATAGGTAAAAATCTTCTACTCAGAAATATACTCTAGGTTGTTTCTTGTGTGGTGCTAAGTCAAGCCTCATTGTCCCACGTTCTTGTGTACAAACTAGGTATGAAGATATTTCTATTTAGAATCTTCTTGTGATTTGTAATAATAGTTTGGAAGTTTTTCTTAGTATCTTCCCAGAGTCGGAGAAATTTGTAGACCATTGTCACCCTGTGACTTGTCTGAAGCACTATATTTTTTATTGGTTTTTCTATTTTCTATTTGGTTTTTCTGTTATCCTGTAATCTGGGCATTTTGTAAGTCATTTTCTACAAAGTTGAAAGTATGTATTTTAGTATTTGAAGTTAAAGGGAGTATACATTTTATCTTTTCTTTGATTTCATTTATCTCTTATGAGATAAGGAAGGGCTGACTCCTGTAGCCAAATGTGTATATGCTATAGGGCAAGAAGTGGAATTATAGAAATTCTTTCAACTTCTGTTTTTCTACCTTTTTAATTACCAGAAAGGCAGCAATATTGTGAGAGCCCTCTCTCATACTGGGATTAGTGGGTAGACATGAGGTGAGACACCCTTTGAAAGACAGATGGCAGCAGTTGAAACTACCAAGATGCTACCTCAAAGAAAGAGACAGGGCCAGAGAACTGGGAGAAGAGGATGAGACCTCCAACCTTCCATCCTATGGACTCAGTCAGTTCACTATAAAAATAACATTAAAAAAAGACTGACTAGACAAATTATTTTACACAATCCGTATTTCCAGATGAAAAGCATTCATTCAAACAAAGCAAATAAATATTTTAATAGTCAATAAATCCAGTAAATTAATATAGTTTAATTAATTAATCCTGTAAATTAATATAGTTATAAGTAAATTTAAAAAGAGCCTGCAACCACATCAGGTTTTGAATGATATAAAACACTCCCCCATTTACAGACAAATTAGGTGTGAACAGGATTGGCCACCTAAAAACAATAGTTAAAAGAAAACTTTTAACCTCCAAATTAAAATACATAAGGAAGGTATGTGTGACAGGATGTAACATATAAGGATCATAAATCCAATATTCCACAGAATAATCCTAATAAAAATTATTTGGGAATATAATTTCAAAATAAACCAGATGTAAATTAAAACATCCATGTAAACAAGCAATATCCATAAAGATATATTTTGCAGAAAACAGGGAACTATTCAAAAATAAATTTAGAATTAAAAATGTTGTTCCTTTAAAGTAAAATGTATTATTAATTTATTTATTGGATTTATCCCTGCCACAATCAAAGGCAGTTTATAAAACATCTGTAAAAAATAATAAAATGTCCAAAGTTTAATATATCAAATAAAAGATAAAAGACGATAAAACAAATTCAATCAAATTACACAACCCACCCCCAAAAAACATATAGACTGAAGGCATCACTTCATACCCAAACAATTCACTGCTGTGAGATGGGCGACCAAATAAATTATTTAAATAAACAAATAAATAAAATTCTCCGAAATAGCAGTTTTTAATAGCTTATGCAAAGCTGATCAAATTTCCAGGGGAAGGCTATTCCAGACCACAGGCACACCAATGGAAAAAAAAAATCTCTGCATGCCTATACTCCACTCTATTTGCAGAAGTGTGGAAACCACTAGCAGGTTCTATTCTCCTAGCTCCACAAGGTGGGCAAATTATGAAAATAAAATTTTGTGAAATTGAACAAGCTAGCTTAAAGGTTGCTACAGCTACTTACATTTAATAAAAATATCAACAAATTTCAAACATCTACCCTTTCTTACAGTGGGGCAAAAAAGTATTTAGTCAGCCACCAATTGTGCAAGTTCTCCCACTTAAAAAGATGAGAG